CCTGCTTACCGATGAGGTGGCGACCTGCAGCGGTGTCCCAAAGCCAGCTGATGCTATTGTTCCTGGCGGGGACACTTGGGACTGCCGGGACTACGGCGGCAACAGCGGCCGGAGATTTCGCCTTACCGAGGGCCCGTGGAGGCGGCCCAGTGTACGGTGAGTGTAGGAAGGCGCAGGACTTAGCCCTACACGCATCATAGGCATAGAACATACACGGAACTTTTGCCTTCTCAGCGGCTGACATCTTTGCTGTCTTGGACACAGCCTTCGACCTCGGAGTGAGATTAGAAGGGGTAGTGTCTCCCTTGTTTGCATTTTGGGACTTCGGAGGAGGAGGAGGCTTAGGGTTCAAAGGACCTTTTCCTTTAGGCGCAGGAGCAGCTGGGGTGCCGCCTCTATCCTGCCCTTGATCCCCTTTCTTCTCGCCTTTCTTGTTCTTCTTCTTCTCCTTCTTAGTCTCTGCTGGCAAAGCGCTGGTAGCTGCTTCCTTGCCCGTGCCACCAACAGCCGGTTTGAGCTTAACATCTTGATCAAACTCATCACGGTTGCGTTTTTGCTGGGCAAGCTCGATGGCCAGGTCATTGCCCAAAGCCATGCACAGGTGCGGCGGTGACTATCATGGGCGGACTCACGGGCCTTCTCAACGCGATGCTTCATTACTTGGCACTTCTCAAACTCGTCAATGAGATGATTGAAAAGCGTTCTTTCCTTGGGGAGCTCATCAAGAGGTATTGCACGGAGAATATAGTTGTACTTCTCACGGAACGCCTCTATGTCCGCTACTGATTGGCCGGCAAGTTTCAAACCTAGAAGATTGCGTTCTCCAAGGACGCCGATCCGATCACGCTCCAGTTGAAAGTGCTTGAAGATCGAACGCAACATCACGCGCCCATTGGGCATTGTACCTGCGGTGTTCCGTTCGTGCTCCACCATGTTTTGGAACAACAACCCAAACTTGCCTTTGCGACAGGTCTTCAACAGCTTGGCGGCTATCTCGCGGGTTGTGCGTGGGAAACGTGCATCTGCCCTGAGTTGTTCCTCGGATGAGGTCAGGCAATCCTGAGCCCAGAGATAGAGCTCGTCACCGGTCGTCTTTTGTAGACGTCCAATGGCCATGAGGACTTGATTCACATATCCACGCGCCTGGCCGGCGTTCTCTGGCGGAAGCGGAAGCACTAAATCCTTAAGGTCCTTTATGCGAACCACGGTTTCCTCATGTGAGGCCGGATCTGATGCGCTTGTAGCAGCATCCCCACCACTTGCATCTGCTGCTTGAGTACCTTGTCCCTGCCCCCCATTCATGGAAAGGGAGGGGCAGGCGGTATCATCATGCGGGCCACCACAGACTCGGCATGAGGGGGTGTTACCCTCGTCACCGGATTCTGAGGATGTGTCGGAGCTTGCCTCCGAAGGTGCGAGTGGGGAGGATGGGAATTGAGCCACTTGACTTGTACTTGCACTTGTTAGCCTAAGCGTGGGGACAGCAGTTGTGTGCTGGACAGCTACGGAAGGCGGGGGTGCCTGAGCCGATGCGATCGGGGGCGAAGCCCCTGATACCCCTACCTGGGCCTCAACTAACTTTGAAAGTTGATGGACCAGCTCAGTTAAAGAGGACATTTGTGCCTGTACGTCTACAGGTCCCCTTACATCCTGAGTCCGAGCGACGTCCGGTGGTAATTGTGGTTGTGCACGTGGATCACCATCCTGGATTTGCACACGCTTGGCATCTGACTTGATGTCGGGCTGTGGGGGAGCGAAGGATTTTGGGAAACCAACAGGGGCACGTGGCGCTACCTTAGGGTCGCTACTTGAACTTCCCGATGCGCCTAGAGCTGCATCCTTCGGGGGACACTGCTCACGTGTGGCATCACTCGGCCCTTGAACTTGGGGAGCCTGTGATCCAACCTGAAGGTCACGTCCAACGTCATTTAGCCCCGATGACCCGGGATCCGTAGGATTTTGACTTTCATGACTTTCATCCGGAGGTACCGGAACATTTTGTGCCATGGATGCGACAGCTTTCTAGGTCAGCAAGGCGTTGCGACAACAGAAGGTTCTCACTCCCTAATGTATCTATCACTTTGCTTTGCTGGAGGATCTTCTGTTCCCGTGAGGAAATTTCTTGAATAGCCTCCTGTCTCAACTTTGACACTTCGGCTTCGGCGGCCGACTTTGTTTGTTGTGCCTCATGCCTAGCACGCTCAACATGGCTTACGGCTTCCTGTCTTAACAGATGGACATGGCCTTCGGCTTCCTGCCTCACCTGTTGAACATGGCCTTGAGCTTCCTGTTGAGAATGCTGTGCAGCTTGTTCAACTAATGCTGTCTGAGCACGGGCTCGTTCGACTGCTTGCTGGGCTTGGTATGTCAGTTCAGTTGCCTGTTGTCTAAAGGTCTGCTCCCTTTGTTGCGCAACAGCGGCAACCTCCCCTAGCCTTTGTCTGGCCTGGTCCGCGGCTCGATGCTCGTGAAGGGCAACATTGGCAGCCTGATCAGCAATGAGCGAAGCTTGATGCGCACGTTGCACTGCCGATCCGGCCACAAACGCGGCAGCACTCATGTTATTAGATGGGTCGGGTGCTGGCACTTGAGGGCTATACACAAGGGGAGTTGCTGTAGAGTCTGAATCAGGTTCCTCTACAATGGGAGTCCTACGGGGAGGAGTCGTGTTGCGATCACGACCACGATTATCTCTTGATGAGGATGCCCTGGAACCTACAGGGACTACGGACATTGCGGGTACCAAAATATCACCTAGTTCCTCATTAGATTCTCCCTCAGGGGTTGACCTTGACCTATCATCCGAAGGTGGGGAAATCCCTGATGCCATGTCGGATGCACCTTTCACACGAGGTCAGGCTCACGTCTGCTGACACACCGCGCTTTAAGCTGCGGCCTTTGGAAAACTTATGTTACAACCGGTGTTGGAAACCGGTGCACTTGCTGCGCTTGAGCTGCAACCTCCGGCAGTGCCAGGTCAACGAAAAAGTCCTCGGCCGCCCCTTGCAGATTGCGGGCGGCGGCCAACCTCCTCGAGATACTCGTTTGTGGCCGTGGCGGAAGTGGAGCCGGACGGAGTGAGGCTGGACAACGGCATGCGGCTGAAGAACCAGGAGCTGCTGCGGGCCACCCGGCCGAGCCACGCAGTGACCTACGCCAGCTGCCAGGGGCTCACCCTCCGCAACCGCGTCCGCCTGGACCTGGGGTCGTGCCACCTCGCGCTGCGCCACCTGTACGTGGGCGCCTCAAGGGCGACGAGCTCCGAGCTGCTGGAGGCGGCCTAGCCGAACGGGCACTCAGGCCGCCTCACACCACTGATCGATTTAGGGACCGACGCTGCGCGTTGAGCTGCAGCCCTTCCTTGGCACTGGTGCTGGGGGTGCTGGTGGTGCTCTCAGCGGTGGTGGGGGAATGGCCTTCGACGCAGCGCGATCCGCAGCTGCCTGGTCGAGTACGCTTTGTGGGGGCGCCTTGACCTGGCTTTCCCGCTTGGCAAAAACAATCCGAGCGGTCTTTGTTGCGGGTGCTGTGGATGAGTCGCGCCCGGCAGGTGCAGGCCGCTTGATGCTGACCTGCTCAGCCTCGTACACCCTGTCCGGGTTGAAGGCCGCGCGACCTGAGTAAACGACCTTTTTGGAGGTGGCGACGCACTCAGGTCGTAGTGCTCGGCCCTGCCGTGACCTCTTGGAGGGTCGGAAGAGGAGTCTGCCCTTGGCGGATGGTGCCAATACGAGTCTGGGAGGTCGTACGGGTCGTCCGAGGGCACCGGATGCGTCGCCCGACGCGTGGGTCGTGCGGTGCCCTCGTATCGGTGCTGGAGGATCCAGATCCCTGTGCTGTCCACCCGGGTTGTCGGGTAGGCGCAGTTGGCCGGCGCCAAGATCAGCGGCCGGCTGCTCAGGGATGCACGGGCCGGAGGTGTTGAAGAGCTGGAGCTCCTGGTCCTCGACCCCGCTGCGCTTGGAGCTGCAGCCCTGAGGGGAGGGAAGGTTGTCGCCTCGCCGGCGGTGTCCTCTTCCTCCTCGATGAGGACCTCCCCGCAGCAGTGTACCTTCCCCTACCCGCAGTTGCAGGTGGATAGGATGAAGGTCGGGACGGGCTCTCAGTTGTGGCTCTTGATGGAACCGCTGCGCTTGTAGCTGCAGCCTGATCTTCCGGCCCCGCTCCTGCCTGTGTCTGCGCTGCGCTTGGAGCTGCAGCCTTGATGGTGGACACAGTTGTGGTGGAGGATGGACTTGATGGGGTGCTTGGCTGTTGCTGTGGCTGAGCTGGTGTTGGAGCCTGCCCTGCCGCGCCTTGAGCTGCGGCCTGTGCCCGTTGGTGAATTGGGATTGGTTGGTGGCGGCCTCGGGCGATGACGGCGTCGTAGAGGTCGGGGTAGATGTCCCGCAGGTGCCGATAGCTCTCTTCAGTGAAATCGGCCTGCCACGCCAGGAGGGAGCTCCGATGCAAGTCCGAAGCTTCCTCCCAGGGGACCCTTGCCACACCAACCTGAAACTCGCGCCGAGCCCAACGGGTGAGCTCGTCGAAGGCTTCGTAGTAAAGCTTTCGACGATATACCCACCCGCCCCTGTGTCCTCTGGCCGAGAAGGCCGGAGCCGGGTCCATGCACGAAGTGCGCTGACTACCGGACTGAGGGGGCCTAATCCCAAAAAGCAGTTACGGCTGATAACCACTCAACAGGGAAAGAAACAACGCGAACCAGAAACCGGGACCCTTATTAACCCCAGTCCGGCAGGCGAGCGCAAACCCTGGATTTGATCTTCTGGGCATCTTGAGCCAAATGGGCATTGCCATTCAGCATGTTCTTGCTATCAACGGGGCCTCCAACATCACATACATGCACACCATTCTGGGGTGCCTCTTTGGGGGTCAAGGGGTCGTGATTATTCAACTATATGTAACATAAAATTCAGAAGCTGGATAAGCATGTTGCACCAAAACCCTAAACCAACATATAACATATGATTGCATTTACTGCCGCAGGCTCGCACACCCGCCTCCATCAAAGGAGATCGCAGCCTCACTTCTTCCCTGGGCTGCTATTCGCCGGCTCCCTTCGGGGCAGCGGTGGTTTTCCAAACGCATCAACAAAACCAGGCGGCGCAAAGCCATGAAGGAGTTTACAGGCCTTATCACGGTCCAACCCAGGTAGAGCCATGGATCCTCTCCGATTGCTGGGCGTATTTTCTTCGGGAGCCCGCCTGTCCGATTTGGGGGAGCAATGGGAAGGGCATGGCCTTTAATGCTCCTTCAGGGTCGTTTTTTTGTCACTATTAGTCAACATTCGTCACCTGTAGCTGCTTCAAAGGGTTTCTACGTACCAGGTGAGTTTTAGGTCTATCCATCCTGCTACCGGGATATAAGAATCACTCGGCGACAACGGCCTCCCCCTGCGAGTTGGCTCTGAATCAGTGCCTAGCATTTTCTTTTCACCAAGCGGCGACACCGGCGCGGGGAAGGACCTCTCGGTCGCCGCCTCGCTAAGCGAAAGCGCGAGCGAAGGAGCCTGGGTTGCTCTTCCATGAACAAAAGGTCGGTGGACCTGTAGGTTTAATCGTAAAGCCATTTTGTTTCCAACGGGTCTAAGGGGCTGAGATGACACCAAAGACCGTGATCCTATCTGCAACTTGGCAACGTGGTTCCCTTTAAACTTGGGTTATCAACCTTTCTATTTGGCCTTCAAGGAATATCTAAGGGCACCTAGATCTTGAAGCTAGTCGAACAAAATTAATTTCAAGCATGATCCAAGTGGTGGCTCACCTGTTGGATTCCCTCGACCGTTCAAAAGGGGGTTCCCCATTGATTTTGAGATCCGACTGGCAAGCACGATCCTGTCTGCCCAACGCATAGTTTGCCAAATAATCCCAAAACCTAAACGAAGGATTGAATCCCAAGTTAAGGACCTCCAATTTACCCCCGACTCGGTGAGCCCGCAACAAAATGGGCAGATCCAATCCGTGCTCCTTGACATGTGTTTGCCTCCCAATAAGGGCACCCCACATTGTGCGGTAGCTGGCACCTGGCGATTACTTGTTTGACAGTGTCTGACTGTGCATGTGTGGGTGTTGTTTGTGTGTGTCAGGCGGTTGTGGGTACGGGCGGGGGTGCACTGACGATCTCATGCGCAGACACTGTCATTCAGCACTGCATGCACTCCTGTCAAAATAAGCGGCTATACAAATGGGCTAGTCTCCCAAGTTTGGGATGCCCCGAAACATGGGCGGCTTTCTTTGGTTGAAGGATGTTAAAGGGTACCAGCGAAACTCCACAAATCACAAAGCCATGCAATATAAACCACCTGGCAGCACCAGGCATGACAGTGCCACGCCCGGCAAGAACATGCTGCTACGGGTCCAGATATCCCTTTTGTGCCCAAACCTTGGGGATGTGGGAATCAGATTGTCCCTTTCTCCCTTTGACTCTCGGGACATGGGCAAAGTTCAAATGAGCCCTTCGGGCAGCACTTACACGGGTTCACCGCCAGAATCCGAAATCCGGGTGACGTTGTCTACCCCAAAACCATGGGCGCATTCGGCTCTACCCGCAAATCCCCAGGGTTAAGTTGCTCTAGATTTTCTGGACCGTGGTGAAAAACGACAACTGCCATCGAAATTTGAAGGCCAACTGTAAATATCCTCAGTGTGAGAGCCCACACCGATGGCCCCTGCCCCACCCCAACCTCACACGCCATGAAACCTACCAAAGGGCCCCTCAAGAAAAGTAGCCTTCAAGGGATGCTGATTTGTCAGCTTCTATAAACAACAACACACCGCAATTCGCTGGTTTGGCCCCAGTTAGGCCCCCACCTGTTGCCTGTCATTGAAGGGAGCATAATCTTTTCTTTTGAAGGGTGCTGCTTTTTGCGGTCAACAGGAAACCAAAAGAAACCATGTCCATCATGGACCAAGGTTTGGAGAGGGCGGTGCACCTGTTTACCCTGACAGAAGTATTGGCTTGGAAACTGGGGGATCTGTCAATCCCCCCCTGAAGTGCGGTCTTGTGAAGTGCTTCTCCTTGGCTTCTGCAGAAAAGGCATGTGTGCTCGGCTCCCCTCCCGCCTGCTTCGGTGCCGCAGCTTCCCCTCGAGCCGATGGAACTCATGGAGCTCGGTTCTGAAAACGGGGGACTGCCCCTTGTTCGCTGTGGTACAGAGAAACCAAAGAAAACCAACCGTCTTTGGGGGTCTCTGATTTTGAGAAAGACCCAGGAAAATTATTAACCTGGTTGTTGGGGCCCAATGTAAGGGTTTACTTGCAGTCTCCTTCTGACCTTCACACAATTGTGTCACTACCCCAAGAGTATGGCTGCATTATATACCACATGTCAAAATGATCATGACTTTTCACCTAGTTGATTGTCGAACTCTTGGTTGATATTTGTTTGGGAGCATCCGGATTGCTTCCCTATGATTCCTTGGGGTCGACATTGACTGAGTAATGTTTGCTAGAATCGACAAACCAGAAATCAGACATCCCGAAGAAATGAGCCTTCTTCATGGGTGAGATGACAACAAGTGGCAAACTGCCCCTCACCTCGCAATTTCATTGCCCAGATTCATCATCTACAACTCATCCGGGCTTTAAACAAAGGGACTTGAAAATCAAACAGTTGGTTAGAAAGTATGGGTAATTTAGCACTAAGAAGCCCTATCCGCAGGATAGCTCGTGAAACTTGGTGCAACCGCTTCTCCCTGGTACTGTCTTGAGACCCTCAAACTGCGTGGCGTTGTGAGTTCCCTTTAGACCAGCCTCAAAACTCAGACTATTTGGCTCACCCACATCCAGACATGGGGCTTTTTTGTCCACCATTGTTGAGTCCACGAAGGGAACCTTTAGTGAAGATCTTCAGGGTGCGCCAGGTTCCTGAGAGGAATCAACCAAAACCAATTGCTTTACCAGGACTTGGATCCTCCCGATGTGCAAGTGACATAATTTTGAAACTCGGTGGCAGGCGTGTTTGTTCCAACACACCGGGGGCATTGGCACCTTTGCAACGCCTGCATCCAAGCAAGACACCTTTGCCGCTAAGTCCTTGCAGGACGGCCCAAGGAAACACGACACTTGCCTAACCTCCAACCCTGGGCAGAACATCTGTTGTTCATGTAGGTCAAGCGCCAAATTCCAAGAAGTTCGTGAGTCCGTAAACTAGGTCCTCCAGTAGAGAGCTTAGAATAATGGTACCCTTTTTCCGTAGTCTAGGTTAGTAGGGGAACCCTCCCCCAAAAAAGGGGTAAAGTGAAGCGCAAAACCTGGGGGGACCTAGTTAAAGCTTGGCTCAAACAACGAGGTACCGGCGAACTTAAAGGCACACAGCTCGCTTTGCCCCTTCGCTTCGCCCCCGGCCAGAAGCAGTTGGTCCGGATGGGCCAGGCACAGAGCCTGGCGTGCTATCAATAAGTCTGGAGCTCCGCTTCCAATTCGGACTCCGGGACCCATGGGACCCTATGTTTTTTATGTGTTGCTTCTTGAAAGATAAGTATGCATAAATATACATATATATATATATATATATGTACATATATGCGCAAAGGTGTTTTTGGAGGAGACCCCACCTACTCTTTGGAGACCCCAGCAAAGTCCAGAAACTGGGGACGCCCCGGCGAAAAACAACACCATTGCGGTGGGTCTTTCTTTGGCTGCCCCCCGTTGAGGCTTCGTGACCCATGGGCGTCATGTCCAAACTTAACGGGCCATGGCGCCACTCATCTTGCGACACGGCGCCACAAAGACCCAGCTGCCAAACAAAACGGGAACAAGGGTGCCTCTGAACAACTGGGAGTATGGGGTTGTCCGTGTTGTTGTGTTGTTCTGCGGTAGAGAGGCCATCAATTCCTGGTCCTTTGCTCATCGCCAGGAAGCTACCTGACGTTGACCCCTTTGCCCCAGGACTGGCAACACAAAAGAATCCGAACCATTTCTGTCCACCAGACTGGTGCCTGAATTCACAAAAAAAACAAGTGCGAAATCGGAAGAACTGAGCTTGCGCCGCGTTTGTATTGCATTCTCAGACAGCCACTGCAAGGGCTCCTGGTCAGTCTCATTGATGCATCGTATCATTGCTGAAGGCAACTAGCCCTTGTGCTTCTTAGATAGCCTTTGGGTTTCCTTTTTCCCCTGACAAACCATAAGCGTTTTATAACCTTTGCGGTAAGGCTGGCCCTGGGGGATAGAAAGGCCCAATACGATCACTCTTCTACCCTTGAGGTGTCGTTGTTTTGGAGGTTTGGAGAAAACCCGTCGAGGGCTCGGCCAGGAACGCCGCTTGGTCATCCACATTTGAAGGCCACTCCCAGCCTGCTGGAGATGTCTGTGACGCCTTGGGCGCATTGCAGAAGTACCTGCAAGCCAAAACTCATGGCATTCCGAGGACCTGGAAATAAGCCGAGACATTTCCCCATCTGCAACCGAATCCGAATGCTAAAATCTCACCAAATGCCCAGCCTGAGTTGCTCTGAAAGCCCGGCTCATGTGCTTGAAGCTTGAAAACCAGCCCAAGCGTACGAGCCCTACCTCTCTTGGCTAATCTCAAGTGGTTCCGGACAGGCAGAAAGCACCTGCTTGAGAGGATTCATCTAAATCAGCTGGCCAAAGGGTCCTTGTCCCTGGCTCACACCCTTTGCCCAACTGGGTACACAAAAAATATATGTTCAGACTCTGCTTCATTTGGTTGGTCAGCAATAACAAAGTGTGTATGTTTGTATAAATATATATATATATATGTATCATATGTGGGTGTGTCTTGTTTTAGGGAGCCACCCCCCCCTCCAAAAAAACACAAACTGGTGGTTTGCCCTTGTTGTTTCCCTTGAATCCCAAAAAGCAGGTACCCTCAACCAAAAGACAGACTCGCATGCAGACTGCAGACCCCGATGTTTTTCCAACCCAGACCGAAACGCACAAAGAACAAAAGACGAGCGGCTTCGCCTCTTCCAAACGGAGTCTCGCGGGCTGTACTCGCTATCCTCCTGCGTCCCGCGGAGAGCTGAATGGAACTTGGAGCCTCGCAAAAATAAAAATTTTGTGGCACCCCGTTGGGGCCGGCCGAAAAAATGGAAACCAAAAGGAAACCGTCCTAGGTCCCATATGGTTTGGTGTCTTCCCGGCGGTTCGCAGCTGAACTCGTGGTAGCACTGCCAGGGTTCCGTGCATGTTGTCCCAAATGCAAGTCGGCGGGTGATGTTCGGGAAAAGTATAGATGTGTCACGTCCCTAAATTCTGCGTTGGCTCAGTCGTTGAGGGAAAGAAGGCGACGGATCTGTTGTTGTTTCCCTGCTGAGGCTGATGTTTGCTGATGTTAAAGGACATTGGTCGTAGCATTGGCAACTATGCGCAAACGAAAGGGAAGCCACCCATCTTTCGGATTCCCCCCATTTTCTCATCATTTTGTTTAGTGGCCATACGTGCAAACCATCTGGCCTTTCAAGCAGGACTCGGAAACCTAAACAGTCCTCCATTGGCACGAAAGGCATCAACCCGGGATTCATCAAAGTGGAGAGCTTGGAAAAAGCAGCGTCAATTGGGTGGGTATTTTTGGAGTGTACACTTCTTGGCGCTTTAGTCACAAACCACAGCAAAAAACGGAGGCCCAACTAATCTGTGAAGTATGCCCAAAGTTGGTAGGGTGGGAGTTGTTGCCATAAGAATCAACGGGCGCTTCAAAAAAGGACATAAAAAAGGGAAGCGCCCTTTGGGTAGTTGGGTTACAAGCCATGCTTGTACGAAAATCCCAAATCCGAAGGTTGGATATTGCCGTTTCGACCCAAACCCCACCCTGCCCCCCGCAACGGGTCCACTGGCCGCCCGTTGAGCTGCATCGGCGGAACCGGCGCCGGCCTGAGCTTGATCTTCTCATTTCTCCAAAGCTGCATTCTCCCTGGTTGGTGAAAAGAAGGAGGTGAACCCTAAGGGGGAAGGCAGTTGGCCAGCTTTGTACCGGGATCTTTGGAGCAACCCTCCGCCAATGCCATGGGTCTGCGTAGGGAGGCCAACCCCCGGCACCCCTCAGGTGGACCATACTTGGAGTCTGTTTTGGCTCGGTCCCACCAGTGAATTGGGTAGATTGAATAGGTGGCTAAAGCGATTTCGGGACATGCCTGGTACCCCTTGCCACGTCACTGACATGTAGGTGGGCAATCTCAGGGCGAACTGTGCCACTCCTTGTTCTGCAACTGGCATTGATAGCGGGACCCCCGCTTTGTCATTGGGCCGAAGCTTTTGTTGTGTCCTTTTTCGCGGGCATCCTTTGTGCAGGTGATTGCGGGTACTTTAAAGGGAAACTTAAGGTAAACCGAAGGGGTTCGGAATGCTTAGGAACACATTCGGGAGCTTGGATATCCATCACAAGTCAAGAGGATTCTTCAAGGTGGACATGTGCAAACAAAACCCCCCATAGGCCGTCTCAAAAGATCCGAGTAACTCCCTTAGTCTTTGGCCTCCGGTTCCCCACCCTGGGCCTGTATGCGACCAGGAATCGTGACCATCCATCGGGGTTTTGATGGCATGTGAGACCATCTTCCCCCTTCTTAGGGTTCCTCCTCCTTTTCACAAACCACAAAATGGACAGGCAGATAGCTGAGACCGACTCGGCTTGGGTCAATGGTAGCACAAGGCGGAGGGGCCAAAAAGGAGGCCGAAGCCATATGAGGCAGGTTTTTAAAATCTAGGACCTAGGATGTTTGTTTGGGGTTGGCTTAAAGAGCGGGGGGTGGGGGGCGGGCGTCGTCCCACAATTTGACAAATGTGCTATGTTTGACAGCCAGGCATTTTGAGGCTCGGAGCAAACCCCCCTCACGCCAATCTGGCCATGCTGATGGACTAAAGGGGACGATACGGGCTGCGTGTTTTTCCCAGGAAAAGTGGATCCCACCTTAACTTGTACACACACACACACACCTACCCGCACATCATGTCCCATCAAAGCAACCAGGGTGGTCTTTCTGGGTTCCCACAACTACCCTTGTTTCTGCACCTGGCGAGGACACGTAAGGACGTAAGGCGCTTGACAAAGCCGCGCATTGTCGGACCTTTAGAGCTCTAGGGTGGGGCTTTTGGGTGGCTATCTAAGCCTCGCAGCCGCAGCAAAGCCTCGGATGGTACAAGCCTTGGCCTCCTGAAAATCTCGGTGATAGCCGCGGCCCCATGAGTTGTACAGCTTAAGTGCCGGGCGGTCCGCTGTCTAGCTGCACCTGGCATCTGCCTGACTGAGTGGCCTCGGCAAAAGGATGCGCAAAGCAGGATTCTGGGCTCTTCAAAATGGAGAGTTGGCCAATCCTAAGCCAAATCCGCATTGGACAGCCACCAAAACGGACCGGTTCCTTTCGCAACCCATGGCAAGGATTGCTTGGATTGCCTAACTGAACAACCCAGTTTGAATGTTCAATATTGCGTGAACAATATCCTTTTGGTTTCCCTTGAAAGGGCAGCCATGGGCTGGCATCTGAAACAACAATTGCTCAGCCCGGGATCACTGCCGAAACCAATCCACCTATTCCAAGGCGGGCATCGACTTTTGGTTCCACCATGATTCCGCTTCAACAATCTTCAACAATTGGAATACAAGCCCCAATGTCCGCTTGCTTCCATGCTTGTTAGAAAGAGGAAAGGTTTACACAGGCACTCATGTAACCAAGCCTTGCCGCACCGCTGTGGAATTCCAATAGACCAATCCCAGCCGGAGGGAAGTCAAGCCGTGCTGAGGCAGCTCAGGCCATCTTGAAAAGACCGAAAAATGTCGAGCTTGGCGAGTAGAGTTGGACGATCTGGGCCCACTTGTGAGCTGTGCACTTTTAGTTTGGTAGACATCTGTCAATGGCTTCCTTTTTAGGCATCCCTTCCCCCATCCAGACACGGTATTTTTCTTGCGAGCCCCTGTTTTGACTCATACCCAAAACGGGTTCCCAATTTGTAAGTGTCAACCCTTCAGGCAACGTCTGCCAAAGAATCCAAGCAATCTAGACCCGTTTGACGGTGGCTGCAAGCTGGCCGACAAGACATTTTTCACTGAGTCTGTCATTGACGGAAACTGTTTCCATCATAAACCACCCCCAGTGACACAAGGGCAATAGCCCCAAGAAACAGCTAATGTGATGGACCCAAGAACAAAGAAATCACCTCGGTGTTTGACCAGAGTGACTCTGTCCGATTGTCTGGCTTTCGAACGGGTACGACACTCAAATGCGAATGCTGGGTCTGAAAAGAAGGATCCCTGGACAGGGTGAAATAGGTTTGCCCAAACCGGGAATGACTAGACATGGGCTTGTGTCAAAATAAGATAACCCCTAAGACGGCCCCTCTAAACCTAACCCAAACGCGGTTCCCTCCAAAACGACACACCCGCATGTCTGGCGAGAATGGCGGAAGTTCAGATCCATTTGTGTATCGGACCTAACCCTCGCACACTGAGACAAGCACTGGGCCACGCCTGAGAAGCTGCCGGCGAGTGGACCGATGACTGATTTTCACAATACTCAGTTGCCCAAAGAACCCAGAAAAGAAAGGTTAACCTGTTGGGGCCATGACCTGCAATGGACCAAAATAGGAAACCAAAAGGTAAAAAGGCTGGCTTTGGGCAAGTGAGAATACAGTCGCGTCACTCGGAGAGTGGTATTTGGGACTGACTGCAAGTCACACCACTCTCAGGCCACCAGAAACAAAGCCAAGCGACAAAGATTTTGTCTGGGAAAAAAGGGCAAAAACAAGGGAACCGGCTATGAGACGAACAGTGCCGAAGCAACCAAATGGGGGAAACCGCTATGAGACGGCCAACACCCTGCTTGGTCTATGGTGCAGAAAGGTACTGCAGGTGATCTCCTCTTCAGCTTAAGGTAGCTCGGACATGGAATTCCAGTTTCGGGCTTGCCATCCCACCGATGCCCCAAGCAAGTTTGCACTTGGCGCCGGGTTTTGGTTGGTGTCCAAAAAAGGCCCCTGGTTTTTGGACAGCCCTGGTTGCCCATGAAGTGCATTTTCTCGGTGATGCACACAGCGTCACAGCGTTTGTAAGGGAAATGAGTTTGCCACACTCGAGCTGGAGCTTCGAAACTCTGCTTCGCAAAGGTGTCTATATCTTCATTGAGGTCGCATCCTCAACCGGTGTTCTGCAATGCATCCATCATATTTAGCAGACTGCCACTCTTTCATGACTTGTCTGACATAAGCTTACACGGACTCCTCTAACAGAATCAAGGCTAAACTACCGACAGTGGTAAGCATCCCTTCATCCAGGGCTTTTTGCCCACGGCAACGATTCAGCATCTGTTTGATTCCAACCTGTCCAACCTTTCCCAATAAGCTGCAGCAGCCGCAGTAGTGTGACGCTATGTGTAAAGAAGGACCATAAGGGAAAGCTGTTGACTGCCTTGTGCAATCACCGCCTGTCTCTAAAACAAGGGAATTCTCAAAAGGTGTGGTTTTCCGGCGATTTTCCCGTAAATTCAAGACCACCAATGTCAGGCCCAGGTTTTTGGACATCACGGGGCCAAAGACTCGACTCACTTCTTCGTTCGCTGGGCGTCTGGCGCCGCTCGCGGCAAGGTGTTTTGCCTAAGGCAAGGGCGTCATCAGGGTGCCTGAAATGTGCCCCCTTTAGGATGCCTCCCTGAAAGGAAACTCACTCATGGCCCGAAACAGGGATGTCTTTACAATCGACACCGTCGTTCAGGACTGTACTGAGAGCGACAAGCAGGCCTGCGGAAAAAAGAGCGGGCAATATCCTGTCCTGAGATGTGTATGTCGTTTCTATGGTACCTGTTTTTGGGAAAACCAGCCATTTTGTTGCGGGGGGGTTCCCAATTTTGAATAATTTGGAGACAAACTCGGATGCTGCTCTGTGTTTTTCTAGATTCCCTTAACATTCCCCAAGCAGTCCCTCAGTATTCCCTAGCATTCTCCTAGTATTCACCCCTAAATTCCCTTAAAGTTCCCCCAGTATGCCCCGTAGTATTCCTCTAGTGGACTCTTTGCGTACTACTTAAATTGTCTTCCCAACAATTGCCAAAAACATCAGACACCGAAAAAGTGAGATTTGTAGCGCAAGCCATGAAGGGCACTCCCGACTTTTGACTGGCCGGTTCCCGGGCGGGCGAGGTGTCGAAGGCTCTTGGCGCAGAGCTGCCACAAGTTCAAACTCGGCTGGGACTTTCGCCAAGTTCGAACACTTCAACAGGGGCACCTGGCAGCTTGGGATTCAAATGCCCTGCTAGTCGGGTGATAGCCCTCTTTTTGTAAGAGAATCCCCAGTCCTAGGGCTTGAGTTCTTGCGCATAACTAACTCAACCATCGCTCTTTTTCACAGCTCAGTTGCCCTTGGATTGTTGGCGATCTTCTGGGAAGGATACCTGAGAGGATATGGGGCAGTGACCCCTGCCACATGAAACCTGGTTGCTGGGGCTCTCACCGTGCTGCAGGAACAGCCGCGGAGCCCTTAGACGCGCGCGGGGGAAAAGGTTCGGTCAAGGGAATGAAACGAGTGGAGCAAACGAGGGACGAGCAAAAACGAGGGACGCATCAGGCATTGAGGAAAGGACGAGGGAGGTGAGGAAATGCAGCATAGGGAATTTCCATGAGGAAACAAGGAAGGAAACACAACCGCTGAATGACGCGCCTGTTGCAGAAGAGCACTCGGAGCAAAAACAAAAAACAACGCCATGCACGAGGCCCCTGCGTAGGTCCGCTGCGGCGGCTGAACCTCGCACCCCGTCGGCGCCCAATGTCCATGAGAAGCCCGGGTCAGTGATTCTAGGACTATGTGAATGTATGTAAGTAAGTAAGTAAGTATGTATGTATGTATGTATGTAAGTAAGTATGTATGTATGTATGTATGTATGTATGTATGTATGTATGTATGTATGTATGATTGTATTGTATTGTATTGCATTGCATTGCATTGTATTGTATTGTATTGTATTGTATTATATTGTATTGTATTGTATTGTATTGTATTGTATGTATTGTATGTATTGTATTGTATTGTATTGTATTGTATTGTATTGTATTGTATTGTATTGTATTGTATTGCATTGTATTGTGTTGTATTGTGTTGTATTGTATTGTATTGTATTGTATTGTATTGTATGTATGTATCTATGTATGTATGTATGTATGTATGTATGTATGTCTCACTTCCCAAGTTGACTGGCCAAAAAAAGTTTGAACTTGTTATTTACCACTAAAATGGTCTTTCCAAAAAGTTTAAAGTCCACCAACTCAGGAAGTGAGATTTATGTATGTATGTATGTATGTATGTATGTATGTATGTATGTATGTGTGTATGTATGTATGTATGTATGTATGTATGTATGTATGTATGTATGTATGTATGTATGTATGTATGTATGTATGTATGTATGTATGTATGCATGCACATACAACACGGGAACCACCTTCGAACAACTGAAAGGACAATGTCTAGTTGCTTGGCAAGAAGCCTGGGATCCGTTGACAAAGGGAAAGCAAAGGGCACCAAACCGATTTTCTGCCAATGGGCTAGTTATCATTTAGAGGCTGGCGACCTCTCTTGTTCTGTGCGGGGAACCTGCCAGGGAAAATGGGTCGGTGGTGCACTAACAGCGACCGCTACCATTTCTTAGTGGTTCGTTAATACCTGAGATGAAAATAGTGGGATATTTCATATATCCCTCGAAACTCTGAAACTTCAATGGGTGTGGCTGGGAAGCTTCAATTTTTGGAGACCAATCAGGCATGAAAGCGCCCTAAACAGACCCGTCCAGCCAGAAAGGATGAAGAGACATGGCAGCGGAGCAGTGATCGAGACTCGAAAAGGCACCCTACACTTCCCGCACGAGGGTGTTCCGCGACAGTGCAAACTGAAAGGACGTGGTTATTTGCTGAACCCACGAGGAAAGTTGAAAGGAAGGTGTTGAACAATCTCCTTACACCAGTGACGCGAATCAACCTTTATCAAACAAGGAAATGCACTTCTCCAAAAGCATTCTCCTAGCTAAGGGCAGCTATCCCAGTCGCGGCTTTGGCGGCAAGGGCCCTCCCGTTGTTCCATCCCTCCGCTTGCAGGTGGTACACTCGCTCAAGGAAACAACCAATACGCAGGTCCGGGCAGGGCTTTCTATCTGTCGAGCGGGAAGTGATGTTTCAGCTGCCTGAAAGCTGTAAACATCTAGAATCTAAGTGTAAGCTGTATACAGTGATTCACCAAACTGAAAAACTGGACTAGGAGGGTGATTCTTGACCTTTCTTTAGGGGTTTAAAGGGAAACCATCACGAAGCCACCATGTGGACACAAACCTCCCAATAAGGGAAGCCGTCACGGAACCTTCGGTGAAAACCTTCGGTCGTAACCCAACGCGCCAACCCTTGGGACCCAGGCTATGACTCGAGGACTCGCCACCCGCGGGGAACCAAAGGCTCCTCTGCAAGAATCGTGGTGGTTGGGAGGGTTGGCTCGTGGTACCCTGTTTAAGGCGTGGTTGTGTAAAGGAAAACCAAAAGGAAAACCACCCTTTGTGAAGGTCCCCCTGGTTGAT